CTGGTGTGGCTCAGTGGTTGAGTGCTGACCCATGAACCAGGGGGTCACGGTCCAGTTCCCAGTCAGGGCACATGCCCGGGTTGCCGGCTCGGTCCCCAGTAGGGGGCGTGTGGGTAGGGATGATGTTTCTCTGTCATCGAAGTTTCTATCTCTCCCTCTCTCTGCAATCAAAAAAAACACCTTATTTAGTCGTAACCGGTTTGGCTCAGTGGATAGAGCGCCGGCCTGCGGACTGAAAGGTCCCAGGTTCGATTCCGGTCAAGGGCATGTACCTTGGTTTCGGGCACATCCCCAGTAGGGGGTGTGCAGGAGGCAGCTGATCGATGTTTCTCTCTTATCGATGTTTCTAACTCTCTATCTCTCTCCCTTCCTCTCTGTAAAAAACAAAAAAAATTGATAAAATATATTTAAAAATAACCTTGTTTAAAAAATAGCTTTTTGTAAAGAAGGAGGAGGAGGAGCAGGAGCAGGAGGAGGAAGAGGAGATGGAGAAAGAGGAGGAAGGAGAGAAGGAGGAGGAGGAGAAGTTGATAAATAGGAAGAGACTACAGATACTGTCTGGGCATCAGAGCTCTGCTCCTCGCTCTGCGACCAGGTTCAGGGCTGCCCTGTCCCCTCGCAGGCTCCTCGCGAGCAGAGGATGAGACGCTGCTGGGAACAGCCTCTGCCAATAAACAGGCCGTGAGCGTGCGGGATTACTGCTGTTATTACAGTGACAATACTCGGGGATTAACGGTTATTAAAGTGTGGTAATTACTGTTTGTCATCAGCTCCATAAAGCCCGCCAGCTCTGCGGCTGCCCTCAGCCTGACCTCCCTCCTCCTCTGCCCACAGTGCCACCCGATGACCCCGTCATCCTGGGGGGGCCCGTGATCAGCCTGCGGGCAGGGGACCCCCTCAACCTCACCTGCCACGCAGACAACGCCAAGCCCGCCGCGACCATCGTCTGGCTGCGGAAGGGAGAGGTCATCAACGGGGCCACCTACTCCAAGGTGAGGCCTGGGGGCAGCGCTGGTGGGGGCAGGGCTGGTGGGGGCAGGGCAGGGGGATGGGGGCTCCCCGGGGAGGGGCCAGCTCACCCCACCTCTGCACTCTCTCTCTCTGTCTTTCAGTCGCTCTTGTCCTCCCTCTGTCTCTGTCGCTCTCTGCACATCACTCTCTCTCTCACCCTATGGCTCTGTTCATCTGAGCGTTCTGTCTCTTGGAGGAGACTCCCCCACACTGACTGGGGGGCCTTGTGTACCCCCACTGCCTCCAAGCCCCTGGCCTGGTGTGTGGGTGAGCGCCTGGGCTCGCCGTGGGCATCTGGCTGCAGCAACATTGGAGTGATCGCAAGGCCTCCCCGCGAGTCCCCTTCCGGGACACCCGGGCTCGGGCCTGGCACCAGAATCATACACAAAACGGGGGCGGGGGGGCAGGACAGGCTGAGGAAGAAGGGAGACACTATGGGCTGAGTCCAGAGAGAAATCTCCCCGGGGAGCCAGGGCCCTGCTCCACCTGCTACTTCACAAGCTGCTGCCAGGTGCGGGGACGAGGCCTGGACCCTAGAGAGGTGCGGGGTCTTAGCACGGCGTGTATGTCCCTACCTCGACGCCCCTCGCCCTCTGGCCCCACCTCTGCTCCCTCCGGCTGCTGCCGGGACCCTGGGCCTCACTGGGCTAACAGCACTTGCAGAATAACAACCCCCACACTGGGCCCCGCTCCCTCCACCAGCCTCTCTTCTGGGTACTCTCTCCCCACCTGTCACCCCAGCATCCTCCATCCACCTGCCTATCAGGGCCTAGAGTCTCTACCCAGCAGCCACCACTCATCCTGGCCTTCTTGATGGGCGTCACTCCTGGCCCCAGGGCACAGAGTGAGGTCCCTGAGAAGGCAGGGTCTGCGCAAATGCACTGTGCAGGCCTCCACCTTCCCTTCCATCCCCATTCAAGCGGCCCTAGTGGATTCCCCAGGCAGCTGTAAAGAGGGGAATCAGAGAGATGTTAAAAAAAAAAAAAGACAGAGGAGAGGAGGCCTGGTTGCCAGGCAATTAGGTCTCACTCAAGGCCTCTCTTAAGCACAGGTGTTGAGTCCCCACCCACTGCACTCCCTGAAAACCTCCATCATCCTCACATGGGGTCCCCTCCACCCCCACCCCCACCCCCACCCCCAGGCATCTCCTGGCCTCCCATCTCTCGGGCTCAGCCTGGCTCTCCACTGCCCAGCGGAGGCCCCGGGGGGCTTTGGCTGCCGCCTGCACTGGACACCCGCACCCAGGGCGCATCTGTCCCTGGCCAGCCCGGCCCCCAGGTGCGGGGACGAGGCCTGGGGTGCCAACTGAAGGCCAAGGGGTGGGGCATGGGGCACAGACACGAAGCTGCGCCCGGGCAGGCAGGCTTTAGAGATGAGCCCCAGACCTCACAGAACCTTGGATGCAGAGAGGGCTGGAAACCCGTCCACGAAGGCTACTGCTCGGCGCACTCACCCCTGTGCGTGGGTCAGGTGCACGCCCACCCCAGCACACACCTGCACACACCGCTGCGCTGGTCCTAGTGCACCTGCAAGAGCTGCCATCAGGGTCACGTGGGGCAGCCTGCGCTGGGACCCGGCAGCATGCATCTGCCACCAAGCCGGCGGGAGGGCTGCCTGCCCCAGGCCCTGGAAGTGGTGGCCCAGAAACGGAAGACTCGCCGTTAATAATTCACTGGATGAGCTGATCTGCACACTAACGAAGGTTTCTGAAATAGGAGGTGGGGGGCTGGGGCCCCCAGCGTGTCCCCAGAGCCAAGTTCAGTGAAGAGAAGGAGCTGGGAGGGAAGGTTCGCGTGGGCTGTGACAAGAATCAGCCAATGGTAGAATGCTCGGCCTGGCTGGGACCTTCAAGGCCTCAGAGCCCAGAGGCTCCATTTGCATCTGAGTAAAGGGGAGCTTTGTCAGAGGGGAATGAAGGAAAAGAAAGATGAGACATAAGGAGATTCGGAAGGAATGAGGGACGGAGACAAAGGAGGGTGAGGGAGATGGAGGCTGGGCAGGAGCAGGCAGGCCACACCCCCTCCCCCAAGCTACCTTTCCTCCCTGCGGGCTCCCAGGCCTCCCTGGCCTTTCTAGGCCTCCTCCCCCAGGACATCCCTGCAGACCTGGCCCTTCCCTGGGTCCAGGGCCTGGGGTCCCCGAGAGCTGGGAGCCGGGGTGAGCCTCCTGTGGGAGCCGCCAGCCTGCCTTCCCCGCTCGCCCTGGTTTAATGAACACATCTCCCTTTTCTCTAATTAGGTGGAACAAACAGCTTGAACCAGAATTTTTATTTCCCAGAAAAGCACACGCCCGGACACAGTAAATATGTCATTAATCATCATTCGGAGGCAGAGGAGCACCCTGGGTGGGGAGGCGGCGGGAGGCAGTCCTGGGGCCTCATTAGGAGCTCGGGCCGCCGGGTTCCCTCCCACCAGCACCGGCTGGCCCGGCCCCTCAGCCGTAAAGAGCCGATCAGCAGAGGGGCCAGCTGAGTCCAGCTTATGTCCATGCCCCTTGTTAGCACAATGGGGGGGTATAGAAAAGGGGGGGCATAGTATGGACACCCTCCCCCCTTCACTACACACACACACACACTCGCACACACACACACACGCACACAGACATGCATACAGACACATACACAGACACGCTCCACCCCAGGTCTTATTTCCACCCAGGAAATTGTTCTTATTATCGCTTGGATATTTATAGACGCAGGAGGTCTGCGGCCCAGCCCGAGCCAGCCGGCTGCTGTGGTGCGGGGCAGCGCCCTCCGCTGGGGTTGGGCTGGAGGCCAACCCTCTGTGCCTTCTCTGTGCAAGTGCCTCTGTGGGCCCCCATCCAGCTCCTGGCCTGCAGCCTGCTCCCCACCCACTGCCCGGACTGCCCCATGGCTAGCAAGGACTGACCATATCCCTGTCCCCCAGCCCCTCTCCGGGGACCCCTCTGCCCAGCGCTAAGGCCACCACCCCATGGCGGCCCAGGGAAGGCCTCAAGCCACCAGCACCTGCCGAGGCCCAGGCAGTTTTCCAGCATCCGGGAGACAGTGCGGACGACGGCCCCGCCCCAGGGATCTCTCTGGCATCTCAGAGTCCGGCCTTGTCCACGCAGGATGAGCTGACCTAGACAGAGGCTCGGGTCATGGCCCCGTGTGGAGGCCGCAGGCTTTGCCCCGGCTAAGCAGGACCACACTGACCGACAGACCCAGAGAGCGGCTCCGGCAGCCTGCGTGACCTTGGCCCTGTGACCTTGGAGGCTACACAGTGGTCCTAACTGTTCCCACCTTCACATGGAGATCACACTCACCTTCTTCCAGCTCCCGGGGAGCTGGGGAGGGAGGGTCATGGCTCAGGGTCATTCTCAAGGGCAAAGCCCAGACCTGCCCACCCAGTTCCTGGCTCACTTTGAATTTGGTTTTCACTTCTGCTGATGAGCGCTCCCTTCCTCCCAGGGAGGTTAGAGCCCAGGCCGTGGTTAGTTTAAAGGAGGTTTGAGGAAGTGGAGACTCTTGTTCTATCCCCTGGCTCTAATCACGGTGAAATAAGACTGCACCCGCCACCCCTTTCCTGGAGGGAGTTAGCTCCTGCCCAGAATCAGCAGAGTCCGAGGACTGGCCAGTCCCGCCTGGGAGTGGCCCTCCTGCCCATATACCGTCCCAGCACGCACCACCTAGCGGGTCCCTGGTGGGCTCCCCTCCCAGGGCTCCAAACTGATGGGGAGGGCCCTGAAAGGGGGTGCAGGGGAGGGGCGAGGCGGACCCAGCTGCAGAATGGCCTCATGGTCCCATGGAAGCTAATGGGAGACGGGAGACCAAAAGCCTCAGGACTTGTATTGGTTTCCTAGGGCTGCCCTAACAAGGGACGACAGCTAGTGCTCAATACAACTGAAGTTCATTGTCTCACAGGCTGGAGGCCCAGAGTCGGCACTCGGGGTGCTGGCGGGGCCCTCGCTCCCTCCGAAGGCTTTAGGGCAGGGGTGGGGAACATCCGGCCCAGCCCTTGAGCCATGTGAGGCCCGAGAAATCCTTTGGTCTGGCCCTGCCAAGGCATGAGGGGTGAGTTAATTCAATGTTTGACCACATGGAGCAGGTGAATTTTGAAGCTGGTAATGTTGTGTGGCCCTCGAATGACATCATAAACATCCAAATGGCCCTTAGCAGAAAGAAGGTTCCCCACCCCTGCTTTAGGGAGAACCCTCCCTCGACTCTTCTAGCACCAGGTGGCTGCCAGCTCTCTTTGGCTTGTGGCAGCATCACTCCAGTCTCTGCCTCCCTCTCCGTACGGCCCTCTCCTCTGTTTCTCGGACTCTCTGCCTCTCCATCTTGTCAGGACACCAGTCATTGGATTTAGGGCCCCTTCTAAATCCAGAGTCTCAACTAATTGCTAATTACTTAGCTAATCTGTGGAGACCCTACTTCCAATGAAGGTCACATTCTGAGGTTCCAGGGGGACATGAACCCGGGGGGGACACCACCTAACCTGCTGCAGGAGCCTCTTACTTGTGTCGCCTCCACCTTGAAGTGTACATTTCTCGGTCTCGCCTGTTTTCTCACCTGTCACGTGGAAGACATGGCATCCGTTCTGCCTATAGCTTGGTCAGGGCTCTAATGAGGTGAGGGAGTGAATGACTTGAAAAGCTGAAAGGGTTTTCAGCAGTTCTCAACCTGTGGGTCGCGACCCCTGAAAATACATCCTGCATCTCAGATATTTACATGACGATTCATAACAGTAGCAAAATTACCGTTATGAAGTAGCAACGAAAATAATTTTATGGTTGGGGGGTCACCACAACATGAGGAACTGTATTAAAGGGTCGCGGCATTAGGAAGGTTGAGAACCACTGGATAGTCAGTGTCCATGGATTCTGCCACGCCCCCACCCAGGCCTGCCCTTTCCCCCACGCCCCAAGCTACATCCCCTTCTACAGACCATGTCCCTGTGGCGGGACAACAGCTCTGCCTGTGGCACACGCCTCAGAGCTTCCTGCAGACCCGGAGCCCCCGGACACAAAAGGCAGACCAATGGGAATTCCTGCACAGGAGCTGCAGCCTGGTTTTCTTCCTCATCCGGGGTCTGCCAGTCCAGGCTGGTTTTCACTCAGGATAGGACGCTTTCTAGTTCCTTTTTCTTCTGCAGCCCAGCACTCAGCCAGGCCGGGGAGCCCAGGTGACCCCAGCTCTGTGCAGAGACGGTGCCCTGGGGTCGTGAGCTGCCCGCCTCCAAGCACAGGGCTCCCTCTTCCTGTAGCTGCCAGGCCATGCCAGCCGGATGACATGGGCCTTCTCTCCCTCCCCCAGACCCTGCTCCGTGACGGCAAGCGCGAGAGCATCGTGAGCACCCTGTTCATCTCCCCCGGAGACGTGGAGAATGGACAGAGTATCGTGTGCCGAGCCACCAACAAAGCCATCCCCGCGGGGAAGGAGACCTCGGTCACCATCGACATCCAGCGTGAGTACTGACCCGGCCTGGGCCCGGAGGTACCCCCACACCTCAGTCTGGGCACGGAGGAACCCTACACCCCGGCCTGGGCCTGGAGGAGTCCCCACACCCCAGCCTGGGCACAGAGGAACCCCCACACCCCAGCGTGGGCCCGGAGGTACCCCCACACCTCAGTCTGGGCACGGAGGAACCCCCACACCCTGGCCTGGCCACAGAGGGAGTCCCATACCCCAGCCCTGGGCACAGAGTAACCTATCACTCGGACCTGGGCACGGAGTAGTCACACACCCCATCCTGAGGCAAGAGGAATCCCCACACTGCAGCGTGGGGCACGGAAGAACCCACCACCTCCGGTTGAGGAAAGAGAGAACTCGTAGTCCCCCGGCTCTGATGAGGTGATGAGTTTAAAATGGGGATCTGTGTATACTACTCGCAGTCTACTACGCTCGACGCCGGTTTTGGGAACGGAAGAGACATCTCACACACCCCTAGACCCTGGGCC